CCTTGGATGGGCCCACCTACCCTCCCCACCAGCCCAGCTGCCCGAATAAGTGATCATCATAGTGTGTTCCAATTATGTTTACTAGTTTCCGGCTCCAAGACTACCAGTTCACTCTGAGGTGTAAATAGTAGTGAATGAGACCAAAAGTGTGCCTCTCCCGGGAATTTACATAACAATAGCTCTGATAGGCTGGTCATGGAAGGAAGCCTTTCATGTGGTTGCCGAGGAGAAGGAAGAATTTAAGGGACAAGCTTTGGGAAGTGGGAGAAGAATATTCCTGGCATCTCTGAACTGCACCTATCAGAAGTTACTCCCATTTCTTACTCTTAAATCCCAAGTGCCAGAACATCCCATCATTATTTCTGCCAGAGCCCTACAGAATTTCTATCCACATCTCCCTGAGTGCTGTTTGTAGTGGTGTCTCATAGTCATTCTGTAGAAAGCAGTCAACAAACATTGGCTTTTATTCATAACATCTGGGCTCCCCACACACACTGTGTGTCTTTAAAGGGCAGGGACTGGGTCTTCTCAATCTCTTGTCTCCTCTTCCTCTCCCAAGCACTAATACAGAATTGGCCCATACTAGATGCTCAAAATGATTTTACATTTACATTACTTGATCCACCTCAGCTTTGCTTCCCCTTCTCTTGTGAGCTGTGCCCAGGAGCCACCCAGGCCTCCTCTCACTTGTGGGCCCTGCTCCAAGTTGGGTCAAGTTGAGTGACTGTGAGTGAAGGAAATGAGCTGGCGTGGGAAGATGAAGCAGGAGTTAGGCCAACCTGGGAACCAGAGCACCAAAGCTGACCCCAGGGCAGTGCCAAACAGAGGGCAAGTGGGTGAGAGGCGAAGAGAAGAGGAAGCTGAGATGAGCTAAAGCCCACGTAGCAGCTGGGTTGACCCAGTGTTGACCTCAGGGGCCCAGGCTAAATATACAGGTCCACTTGAAATACTGGAATGATTCCTCTGGACCTCCTGGATAAAGTCTAACCTCCTTCGCAAGGTGTTCACAATGAGGCCCTACCTATCTTCTCATCTTAATTTTCAGCAGCTCCTCAGCCGCAAGCCTTGAGTCTCCGCCACATGCATGACTCCCCATGCCCCAGATGTGCTGGGAGCACTCTTCCACCACAGCTTTCTGAGTTGTTCTTTCTGCCTAGAATGCCCATCCCCACATTCTCTGCTGGAAAACTCCTACTCTTTCTTTGAGGCCCGGATTAAATGCCCTTTCCTTTGTGAAGCGCTGTCCAGTTCCACCTCCGTGCTGCAATGGCATCGGTTCTCCTTGCTGCCATGGCTCTCCTCACACTGCATCCTGAATCCCAAGAAGAACCAAGTGATCATCAACTAATTCATTCAAGATTTTGCACTTACTCAGCACCTTCTGGTGTACCAGCAGCTGCTCTGGGCACACGTGACACAAAATTGAACAGAATATGCCCTCAAAAAGCATAGAGTAGTCTCAATACATAATATAGTTATGACATAATAACCAGGTGATAAAGTGATCAGGGCACACACAGATCACGGAGAGGCAGGGAAAGAACCTAAACTTACTAGAGCCATAAAGCCCAGCATGTCTCTCCTCTGCTTAAAACCTTCCTGTAGCTTTCCTTTGTTTCCCTTCAACAATAATTGAAGCCCTTACTTTGCCTTCAAAGCCGCCTTGATCCAGGACCCGCTCGTCTTTCTCACCTCCTATCCTCTCCCTCACTTTCCAGGCTCCAGCCCCACGGCCTTCCGCTGCTATTTGAACTCAACAAGCCCCTTTCATCCCAGGGCCTGTGCATTTGCTCTTCCTCTGCCTGGATCTCTCCTAGTCCTGCTCCTTGCTGTCCTTCAGCCTCAGCTCAAATGTCACCTCCTCAAAATAGTCAGAGTCACCTCCCCTGGCCACCCTCTCTAATGTTACCATTGAGTACCTGCTGCCCTCACCCTCTATCATGTAAAGTGCCCTTATTTGTTGTCTTGTTTGTTTATTTGCTTGTTTAGTGTTTCTTCCACTCACTTTTCAGCTCCAAGGAAGCTAGGTTTTGTTTGCCATTCCCTGCCCAGCTCCTAGAATAAGAGTGGAATAAAAATTTGTGGAATGACATTGGGGTCAGATGGGCCAGATTTTGTCTTGAGCTCCAACACGTACAGCCTACATGACATTCAGCAAGTTATGTCACTTCTCTTATCCCAGGCTCCTCATCTGTCAGTGGAGGTAAGAATGCTTGCCTTGCAGGATTGTTCTGAGGGGAAGACACGCTGTTCTTAAGTGCCCTACTCCACGGCGCATGTTGGCTGGATGCTGAGTAATTGTACAAAAGAGGGAGAGCACCGGCAGCCAATCATCCGAGCCCTGACACCAGGGGCTCTCTGCTCTACCTGGAGCCCGACCACGGATTCTCTATGAAATGGAGAGAGATTTGGGCTCTGCGGACGAGAGTCAGTTCTAACTGCAAACTCTCAGTTGAGTTCCAGCCCCGTGTCCCAGCTGTAAGAAGTCACCTCAGCGCATCAGTTCCACTGTAACCTTAAACTCAACACATCCAGTACAAACTCACTGCCTCTCCCTCACTGCCCCTCCTTGCTCTTCACACATCTAAACTAGAAGACAACTGATGGTACTGATCAACTGGTTGAATGACTGATTCATTGTGAAATATCGAGAGGAAAATCATAAGACTTGAACTAAAACTAAAATTGTAAGCATCAAGGCATTGTCCATGGACAGAAGAGGACAGCTGGGTTCTGCCTGGAGCTTCTTGGCTGTTTCTAGAAGCACTGGAGCAAATGGACTGGAGGAAAAGCTGTGGCCAGCCTTCTGAGAACTCACCAGTGTGTATACATACCACATCTTCTTTATCCTCATCATCAGTTGATGGGCACTTGGGTTGCTTCCACATCTTGGCTATTGAGAATAGTGCTGCAATGAACATGGGGGTGCATAAATCTCTTTGAATTGTTGATTTCATGTTCTTTGGATAAATACCCAGTAGTGGGATAGCTGGATCATATGGTATTTCTATTTTTTGGTTTTCTGAGAAATCTCCGTATTGTTTTCCATAGTGGCTGCACCAGTTTGCATTCCCACCAACAGTGTATGAGGGTTCCCTTTTCTCCATATCCTCTCCAACATTTGTTATTTTTTGTCTTGGTAGTTATAGCCATTCTGACAGGTATAAGGTGATATCTCATTGTAGTTTTGATTTGTATTTCCCTAATGATGAGTGACGCTGAACATCTTTTCATGTGCCTGTTGGCTATCTGTATATCTTCTTTGGAAAAATGTCTGTTCATATCCTCTGCCCATTTTTCGATCGGGTCATTTGTTTTATTGTTGTTGAGTTGTATGAGTTCATTACATATTTTGGAAATTAACCCCTTGTCAGATATATGATTTGCAAATATTTTCTCCCAGTTGCTGGGTTGTCTTTTCATTTTGTTCATGGTTTCCTTTGACCTGCAGAAGCTTTTTAGTCTGACGTAGTCCCATTTGTTTATTTTTTCTTTTGTTTCCCTTGCCTGAGTAGACATGGTATTCGAAAAGATACTGCTAAGAATGATGTCAAAGAGTGTACTGCCTATGTTTTCTTCTAGGAGTTTTATGGTCGTTCCATTTGTAACAACGTGGATGGACCTTGAGGGTATTATGTTAAGTGAAATAAGCCAGACAGAGAAAGACAAACACCATATGATTTCACTCATATGTGGAAGATGAACAAATTCATAGATAAAGAGAACAGATTAGTGGTTACCAGACAGGAAGGAAGTGGGGGGGGAGTGGGTGAAAGGGGTAAAGGGGCACATATGTACGGTGACAGATAAAAATTAGAATACTGGTGGTGAGCACAATGCCGTCCGTACAGAAATTGATATGTAGTAATGTACACCTGAAATTTCGCAATGTTATAAACCAAAAAAAACACATCTAATACAAAAAACCAACGATATTCTCAATACATGCTGCCTTCAACAGCATTCTCAAATAAAACGAGTTTTGCATTTTAAAAAAACAAAAACAAAAAAATCCAAACAAAAAATGACTTCCCAGGTCCTGTGGTGGTCCACAGGTTTTCTGCTTTAGTTTGGGAGTTTTTTCTTTTCCTTTGTTTTGGTCTTACATGGCATCCATCCCCCTTCCTCTGATAATAAATAGTACCTCACTGCACTCTCATTCCAATAGTTAGGTGGGACACACAGGCCCAGCCCCAGTTCGTGAGTGGACTGGCAACCCTGGACTAAGCCAACCAGCATATTCTGTTACCCCACCCCACTAGGTAATCTGTTCAGGGTTGGGCACATAACCCAACCCAGACCAAGGACAGGTAGGTCTAAGTGTTTTATGGGTTTGATAGGAAGGAAGAAACTTGCTATTGCTAAGACCAGTGATTCTCAACCAGGGGCAATTCTGCCCCCCAAGGGACATTTGGCAGTGTCTAGAGACATTTTTGGTTGTTACAACTGGAGGATGAGAGACACTAATGGCACCTAGTCGGTAGAGGCCAGGGTTGTGCTACACCTACAATGCACAGGACGGTCTCCACCACAGTGAATTAACTGGCCCAAAGTGTCAGTAGTGCCCAGGTTGGGAAATCTTGCTTTTGGATTTAGACTTCTGAGGATACAAGCCTGGAATTTCTGGTGTCATAACATATAAATGTATGCAGAGAGTTCCAGAGGAGGTGGAACAAAGACGAGGCGGGAGAGAATGGAAGAGAGAGAGTGAGAATAATGGTTCTGATATGGTTGAGGACCTGGATGAGCTATGCCTGAAGCCAACAAACTGGGGTTCTTGTGCCAATGAATCTCCTTTTTTGATTAAAAAAATAAGGGAGAAGAAGAACTCACCAAGTTACCCATGCCCCTTGCATTAATCATTGCCCACTAAGGCCTCCTAAGGCCTTGTATTAGTCTCCTACTGCTGCTATAACGAATCACCACCAATTTAGTGGCTCAAAACAATAAAAATTTATTATTTTATAGTTCTGGAGATCAGACGCCTTTCACTGGACTAAAGGTGTCAGCAGGGCTGTGTTTCTTCTGGAGGCTCTAGGAGAGAATCTATTCCCTGGCCTTTTCCAGCTTCTAGGAACTGCCTGCATTCATTGGCTCACAGCCCCCTTCCTCTGTCTTCAAAATTAGCAGCATAGCATCTTCCAATGTCTCTCTGACTGTCACCCTCCTGCCTCCATCTTATTAGGAACATTATGATTACATTGGGCCCCCTGGGATCATCCAGGATGGTCTCCTCGTCTCAAGATCCTTAACTTAATCACATTTGCAAAGACGCTTTTGCCTTGTAAGGTAACATATTTACAGATTCTGGGGATTAGGATGGGGACATCTTTAGGGGGCCATTATTCTGCCTACCACAGACCCCGAGCAGGATGAGCTGGTTTTGGGGCACCAGCCTGGAACTCAGCCTGCCACCTCCCTACCGACTCTGTTCAAAGTAGAACTCAGTGTGGGCGGAGGGCTCACTCTCCTTGGCGAGTCGTACTGGCTGCTGGGGCTCAGTCGGGCCACAGAGAAACCAGCCAGGCCAGGCAGAAGCCTCAAGTCTGAAAGCCGAGCCCAAGCTTCTCTGGAAGAAGGTGAAGCGTGTGGCCTGTTCACCGCACTTGTACAGGTCCTCGATGTTCACATCCTGTGGGGACAAGGCAGCCGGCTGCAGGGGCTTGGCCAATGAGGGCCTTGACAGTGTGGGTCTTTACCCAGGGAACTACCTTCTGCAGGTTCTGGAGGTCAATGAGGCTGCTGATTGAGATGTCAGCCCTAGAGGCCTCTGGGGCTTGGCCAATGAGGGCTTTGACAGTGTGGGTCCTTACCCGGGGAACTACCTTCTGCAGGTTCTGGAGGGCAAGGGTGTTAGCACTGGGTACAGAAGGAGATGGTGGAAACCTGAAGGAGAGGGACATGTGGCGCAGAGATGCCAGACCATCCTGGAGGCCAGGCCGGGTCTACAGGTTGCCCTAGAATGGGGTGCAATCTCTCACCTCCAGCTGCAGGGAAGGCCCGTCTCCTGTCTCCACACATGCCAGGCAGCGACTGCCTCCCTGGATCCCCAGAAAGATGGGTACCTTGGTGCGGTCCAGGCCTCTGTTGGGAAGGATGCAGATCTTCTCTAGGAAGGAAGAGAGAAGAGAGCCAGGAGACTAGGGGACCCCAGATCACAAGCTTGTAGGTGAGCTAAGGCTCAGGCAGGAAGGAACAGGCCAGGGTGTACCTGGCTTAGCCCCTGCATGCAGGCTGCTGGGTGAGCTGCAACTCCTGTAGAGGTGATGATTCCTCACTAGGAGAGGTCCTCTGCTGCTCCCTGCCTCTTCTCACTGCCACTGGAGGCAGGAGGAAGGCAAGAGGAGAAGGGAGAGCCTGTGGTAGATGGAGCATGGGCGAGTCCCAGGGGATAGAGGCCCCAGATGCTCACCTGCACAACAGTTGTCCACCTCAGGATCTCCCACCAGGAGCTGGTTGGCTTTCGAGTATAGAGTCTTCTGATCTGCATCCTTAATTCTGGAACAGGATGGCAACACTGATGGCCCACTCCCTTCAGGAGCCACTGAGCCCCCCAGCTTTCCCCTGTCCCATGCTCTGAATTATCACACTGAGCATATGGGAGTTCTTCTCCCTTCCACAGGTGAGAAGGGGGCCCCGCTCCACCCCAGCACAGGTAAAGAACAGGTCAGCCTTAAGGCAAGGGAAGGCCTCCTGGGGCTCGTGATTTCCCAAGGCCGTTGTTCCTCCCTTACTAGGCTTGGCTCCTGTCAGGGCCCTTAGGGCGGTGAGGGGAACTGGCGCCTTCTCACTGAAGGGTAGAGTTGGCCTGACTACGCCGACCCTTTTCCATGACTTCCTGAGAGGTTTCCTAATGAGGCTCAGATGTATCTGGGATACAGCGAGCCTTATCTCAGCTTTTCTGGGTCTGCCCCAATTTTTCATAGATGTTTATTCTCTTCAGTAAGGGGGTTAGTTGAGTGTATAACGAAGTGTGATTTGCTTTTCAGATATTTTAAAGACTTTCTGTAGAAGAAAATCCACAAATCAGAAAAAAAAAATCCTATATGATGGTAAGTATGCCAACGTGGCCACCCTGCTCTGGGCGAGGTGTGCTCTGGGGTGGGCCCGCGTTATGGGTGCCAAATCAAGGAAGTGAGCAGAGAGCTGGAGCGGGGCCTGATGACAGTCATTTGAGGTTGGCTGTGGTTCTAGTGATCAGCCTGGGAGGGTGAATACGTGCCGGGGAAGCTGGAGAGAAACAGTGGTGAGCGTGTGCAAGATCAAAGTCATGCAGGTTATTAGCTCTGTCGCCTGGCTGGTTTCAAAGATGTTCATCAGCTGCTCTCAGGCCCTGGGGAGCCCACCTTAACTTCCAGGGCAAGACCTCTGGGCCAATGCTGCGCCTCCAGGAGATTTTTCTCTCTCAATGACAGCTAATTATAATAGCCTTAGCCTTAGCTAATGATCGTATGTGTTCAAAGCAGGTGTGCTTTTTTATTCGCTTGTGCAATAAAAATCAAGATCTGAAAAAAGCTTGGGCTTGACAACTGGGATTCTCCCCCAAGCCTGGACAACCAGGACTTGTAGATAACTCATCTGCCAGCAACAGTCTATTTGGAGACCAGAACCCAAGCTAGCTAGATTCCCCAAAGGGTTGATATTTGTTTTGTCATTTGCGTATTTTGTGCTCATGTCCTGCCTTCCCAGCCAAGATGTAACTTCTTGGAAGCCCCGACTGGCCCCTCCATGTCTAGGGCAGGACAAGCCCAGGGAGGAGCTGAGGAAATGCATCCTAGAGGTCAATCCTATTTTATCTTTATTATGTCTCATCTCATTCCTTGAAGGGCTTGAGGTAGTTTACAACAAAAATTACAGACCGTAAAGTGGTAAACTATAAGTAAAGACCCAAATGTCAAATGAGGTAAAACACAAGTAAGAGTTGGAAGCCCAGAATGGGAGTAAAGGCCACAGAGGCCAACCTCTGTCACCGAGATTCAAAATTGTCTCTGAGCTTTTAGAGAGAGGAGGATGGAGCAGCACAGAGAATGCGGAATCAGAGTCCTGGCTCTGTGTGGCATCAGGTAATTTATTTAACCTCTCTGAGCCTCAGTTTCCAGATCTGTAAAAGGGGCTTAGCAATGCTCCCCTTGTAGATTTCTCAGGATGGAGGCAAGGCAGTAGAATGACTTGCATCTTGCAGATGCTCAGTAAAGAGAGCTATTTTTGTTGTAATGAGGATTAAGCTTAATTGTGGGGCACTTGAGATTTCCAGGGTAAGAGGGAGCCTCATCCCTCTGACTTGGCCTTCTTTTCCTCTTCCCTTGTCATCCCCAGACTCCTGATTAGGTAAGGGAGGACTCCAAGAAGACTTACGTGTAGTATCTTGCCATGGGGAGGGAGCACATTCTTGCAATCAGGAGTGACTGGTTCTTGCTGAGGCGGAAGGAGAGAAGGGCTGTCAGAGAAGCAGGGCGGTGGAGCCAGAGGGCAGACACTCTCCGGGCCCCCAGTCACCCAGTCACACGGTGGAAAGATCCCACTAGCCTGCTTATGCATAAATGGCCAGCCAGAATCCACCAAGGTCTCCCCCAGCCCAACAAGCTCCAGGCAGCTCTAGATGATCCTCATGTGGGGCCATCCAGGAACAAGTCGAGCTGGCGGGGTGTGAGCCTGACGTGTGCACTGATGCGAGCCCTGGGAGAGCAGAGAACAGGTTCCAGCAAACAGGTTAGCCAGGAGCACTTCCCAGGGCTGACACTGGCATGGGGTGTGCTCTACTCTCACAGTTTGAGGACGAGCCCGGCTCAAACCCTGTCCCGCGTCCCAGCCTGGCCCTAGAGTTACCATACTCCTGCCGTCCCGTACCTAGCAGGGGTTAGGACCCAGAGCTCAGGGAAGAGCAGGTTGCCCTGCAGAGTTAGAAAGTATCATTCATAGGGACTGGATGGGTTTGCCAAGACTGTGAAACTATCTAAACTTCCCAATGCCCTATTCTGCTCCAAATGGAAAACAGGCTTGAGACAGAGACACTTGTGTTTTTGAGGGTGATGGATCTAAACTGAAGCCACTGTCCCCGTATAAATCCCAGAGCACAAAGCTTCCTATAGCTCTGCTCCTTCTGGTTGGATTATCCTGCCCTTAGAGCTTTTCCCTCAAACGACTACCTTCAACAAGGCCAATATAGAATCTACCATGGAAATAAACCCAGAGCTAATCAGGTCATGAGGATGGTAGGGGTCAAAAAAACAGCCCAGAAAAGTAAAATGCAAGGATGGCTAAGACTGAGTTTATGCAGTAGATCTGATTCTCACCAAGTAAGAAGAGAAAAGAGAAGAAAAAAGATAAGAAGGCAGAAACTAAGAAGGAATGGGAAAAAGGACGGTGGGAAGAAAGGACCAGAGATGAGAGAAAGAGAGAGGGACACTGAGGGACATTTTGGGAAGTGGGTAAGGAGGAACAGGCTGATGCTGACAGCAGGACTTCCAGCCACCACAGCAGCACTGAGCTCCCTGGCCTGGGTGTTAGAAGAAAGGGGGCTGCAGCTGAGCAGGCTTTTAGTACTAGATCTGCCAGTCGGTGACCTTAGACAAGTCATCTCCTATCCCTGGGCTCTTCAGTGGGAGTCTGAGTGTTGGTCAGACTGCAGGATAACAGGGCACCGACAGGAGTGCAAATTCTGGATGGATGTTGTTACGTGAATTAAAGTCTTCAAGCATTCTATGTACTTTGTAATTTCATCTGCTGTCCTTATTCCAAGGAAAAATAATGGATTGCCCAAATGTTTAGTTATAAAGATGTTCACTGCATCGTTTTTTACAATAGCAAGAAGTTGGAAATAATCTAAATACCAAATAATAGGTGATTGGTTAAAAAGTAATGGCAGGTTTAGTAACTACTAAGAAAGTGTGTGTACATTAAAGATGATATCATAGAAAAACATTCTATGATATAAAAATTTTCAAAATACATTAATTGAAAAGTGCAGGTTATAGATAATGTGTACACTACAATTCCATTTAAATCCACACACATTGAGAGACACAAGTACACAGAAACAAAGATTGCCAATATTGCTGCAGCTGTGGTGCTTATCTATGGCTGACAGACTACGAGTGATTTTTATTTTTATTTTTTAACATCTTTTAACATTTTTCCTATATGAACATGAATTTCCTTTGTAGTATAAAGTAAGTTTTAATTTTTTACAAAATGAAGTGTTCAGTTAAAGTCTTTGACTTCCAAGCGTGCCTGCCCATCAAATCACCTGGAGGACTCTTGATGAGTGCTATGTCCTGGGCTGAAGGTTCTGATTTGGCAGGACTTGAAGGATTCCAGTGATCAGCCAGGCTTGGAACTGCTGCACTAGCGCAGTTCTTCTCTCTTTCTAATGAACATGTACATCCCCTGCAGCTCTTATGAAAATACAGATTCTAATTCCCTAGGTCAGTGAGACCTGAGACTCTGCATTTCAAACCTTCAACCAAGTGATGTGAATGCTGCTGGTCCCTGGCCACACTTTGAGTAGCAAAGGACCAGATGATCCCCCAGAGCAGAGAGCCCAACAGCAGCAAGGCCTCAGTGCAAGCCCACTCGTGCTGTGCTCTCTCTCTGCCAGATGACTGGGGCTCCTTTGGCTGTAGCAGAACTATGGGCAGCCCGGTAGCTGTGCCACCATCTGGCCAGGGCAAACTAAGTGGAGGGTCCCTGTGTAAAGCTGGGCAGGCAGTCTGATGACTCCCACTCTTGGTCAGGGTCAGTTCACAGGGCCGGCAGAAATTCAGTGCCGGTCCAGTCCAGTGGGAATCCCTGGGGTCCCAGACGCCTCCTGTCCTGACCCAGCCCCAAATCCCAGTGTCTCTCCTACAGACTCCCATAACAGTCTCCCCTTGCCTGGGGTCTGGCTAGATCATGATGGGGCGAGTAGGAGTGAGAAGCTGGCTTCTAGTCCATCAGAGAGCCTGGGGGTCTGGTGCTGAGTGTCTGCCACGGTCCCTCCCAATGCACCACATACTCTATCTCCAAAGCTTTCCCTTCTCTCTTGCCCCCAAGTGACCTTTCACTGGACTGTAGCCTGTACTCCTCCCTGAACGCCATCTCTGGCTGTCTCAGACCTCCTCAATTCACCTGTCCTGGATCAAGCACCACCACCAAGTAGCCCTGGGCTTTCTCCGTGTTTCTTTGCACGTCACACACCCTACTCTCTCCTGGTTCTCCTACACATTATCTACATGGAATATGCTCTCTCCAAGACCAATATTAACTTCTGTGGAACCAAATCCAAAGACTCATTTTCGATTCCTCTGACATTTGGCTGCTGCCTCCTCAGAACCCTTGACATTGATCAACTCCCTTCCATTTTCCCCTTCTCAGGCCCACTGTAGATTCTCCCTTCCTTTTGGGGGCATCCCTAAGGCTGGAAATCGCAAGTCAAAGTCCAAAGCACTTCTCTTTCATATGCTGCAATTCATCCATTTCCACCGCTGCAGCGATCATCTTGGTCTAATGCCTCCCAAGTCCGGACTGAGCAACCTGCTTTATCTCCAGCAGTCTAAAGGACATGCCTTTTTGAACATCCTGCCATCACACTCAACTAAATATATCTAAGGTCAAATTAATCTTCTCCTCCTCCTTGCCCATTCATCCCTCCCAACTTCATTTCTCTCACTGCCGTAACCTTCCTCTAGTCCGTGAGATTTGAAACCTAGGGATCATTGACAATCTCTCCCACTTCTCTTGACTCTGCGTCTGATTTATCAACAAGTTCTGACAGACTATTCTTTAAAATATAACTTTGTTTTCACTATAGCCATAAGACCTGTGCCTGTATTCCTGGTTTTCCTACCTTCAATCCAGCCCCAACTGTGGAGTACCTGGACTCATGTTCTAAGTATTGTTTTCACCACATCCCCGTCCAGCTGTAGAATCCACAGTAGCTGCCCATTTCACCACCATCTGGCCCTGATTTGCTTCTATGAGTGTATCTCACGTGGTTCTTGCAAGCAGGACATAGAAACATACACAGCAGATTTGAATGGCAAGGTTGGATTCCAGACCTAGCTCTGCTACAAATTTATCTTGCCATCTCGGAAAGTCCCCTTTTGTCCCCGGGCTGCCAATTTACTATCATTGGAATGAGAGGCTGGGAAAGGTTAATATTTTTCAAAACTAAATTTCACAATGATATTTTTCACAGAAACCTAATGAAAGTAAAATGGGTAAAAGGGACCTGCCTTTGTTGAATCAGGAAGTGATGGAGACACCAGAACCCTGCTAGCATTTTCCTTGACCACTGAAGCAGGCACTGGAACATCTCTAAGGAACTCCCAAGCCTCACCAAACACTGCTGAATCCCAGTGGCCTAGATGATTTCCTCTGAAATTACTTTCTGCAATCTATGATTCTAAATATTTAAAGATCTTGACTTGACTTAACCATACCTTCTCTTCAAATTCCTTCCATATGCCTCTAGACTTATTTAGCATCCCGCAGTGTTCTGTGGAGGGGATACTTTGTTATCTAGAGATCTTGCCAGGAGGAGTTAAGGGAAGGGGCATATCAGAGATATTAACAGAAGGGAGAAGAAAAGAGAGAATACTGCCTGTCCACCACTGACCTGCAGATCCTGGGTACCTGGAACCTCCGACTGATTTATCCTGGGCATCTGCACTGAGTTTATACTGTCCCATCAGGGTGGGTCAGGCCTGCAGCAATCTTTATAATTGGTTCCAGGATGGAAAAGAAGAGCCTAGGGATTTCACAATGTCTTCAGCACAGTATGGATAATAAGAAGGTGGGGGCATTAATGAGTGTTTGTTGGAAGGGGAGAGAGTCACCCGTGAAGCCTTGGCAGAAGCCAGGCTCAGGGCCCCTGCTCGTAGCTACTATAATTGACACTGTTATTGGTGGTTTTGGCAGCCAGATAAACAGTGCTGGGGTCAGATATCTTCATACCACCCTCCCTTTGGTGCCCCATGGGGCTCCATTCTAGGCTTAGAGAGGTGGAAGAGGCAAGAGTGAGTGTGTCTGAGGGGCCTAAGGACAGGGCATCAGGACCTCTGATGTCTGAAGCCAGGCTGGCTGTGGCCAGCCAGGCAAATGAGAACAGGGCATTGACAGCATTGTGAGTAGGGCCCTGTTTGGAAAGACAAAAGGGAAGTCTCTGCTTTACAACAGGTCCTTGTAGTGGGTATCAGCTTGATGAGACAGAAGGTCTAAGGAAACCCACCTACAGAGGACGTTGCCCTTAGATCCATCCTGGGACTAGACAGGTGCCATGTGCCCTGGACTATTAGGGCACACGACATAGTGTGAGCAGGGCAGGGGTAAAGAACACTCAGGCCTCTAACTGACATTACTCAACTCAGTCCATCCATCCACTCATCTATCCACCTACTCACAAGGGCAGAGAAGCTTAGGCATAGTGTTCTGTGGGGACCAAGCACCTTATTGTAATTCTCCCTCTTAGGTCATTTGCAAAGTTCCACAAAGGGCTTGGTGAGGAAGTGGGAGAGGTCAGTCCAACACTCAGATGCCTCAAAAGTGAGAAATAGGTCACGGGCATACTGGAGACAATAGGGGCAGAGAATCTCCTTGAGCAAAAAAACAAATTCCTAGACTTGAAAGGGCCTTAGACATGACATCATAGTCTCCCTTCAAATGGAGAAATTTGAGCTATAGCATCCCTGAGAAATAGGTTAATCAGGCTCTGCTTCAACACCTCCCGTGTCAAGGACCTCACAAGCTCTTGAAGAAACCTTAACAGTGTATGTAGTCCTTATGGTTAAAATTTTCGGGTCACACAGGAAAAACAGCCTCCACGTAATTTCCAATCATCTGTCCTGCTTGTGTTTCTTGGAATTACACAGAACAAGTATATTCTACTAGGCAGGCCTTTGAGTACTTGAAGGGGGCTCTCTGTGTATGCTTCATCAGGATAAAGACTCTCAGCTCCTTAGCCTCCTCATTTACGACCTGGTCTTAGGACCCTCCCTCCTCTTCAGGACACACTATTAGTCCCCAATGCCTGTAGCTGGCACAAACTCAACCTCATACAGGCACGCACCTCAGTAAATATAGGCCTAGGCTGGGAGCTTATATTGAAATTGCAGAAATCTAAAACCACTAGATTTTTTTCACTTGAACAGTCATGATGCCAGGTCCTCCAGCCCAATCCATTCCTAAAGGTAGCATTTTATGTTCCTCCTTTTTCAATTGACTCTTGTCAGCTCATCCCTGCTAAGGCCCTTTTAAATTCTATCATCCCACAAATGATGAAGCAATCATTTCAGGTTTGAGAAAGCTTCAAAACTGAGGTGGAATTTCAGCTGTTCCCTGAAAGGTGGGCCCATTTAAATGGGTGAAGAAGAAAGAAAGAATATTCCAGGGTGGAGAAATAGTTTCCACATTCTACACTCACTGGATTCCAATTGTTTGCCAAACACTATTTGAGGTGCTTGGACACAAACTGATATAGCCTTGACCTTGACGTCATTTTAGGGACCACAGACCCCAAGTCAATTACAATGAGGTCAAGTTACCAAAGAGATGTGCACAAAGCACTATCAGAGAAGATGACCAGGGATCTCAACTCAGCAAAGGCTTCTCAGAGAAGGTGACACTATGAGACTATGGCTGGGTCTGTGGGCAAAAAGAGAGAGTGAGCTGGGTCTGCAGAAACACAGCCCGGTACCTGGAGCCCACGTTCTGAGCAGCCCTGTGCGGCTTGCTGCCCAAGGACTTCAGGAGCTTCTGAGGTCCACTGAGGCAGACCCTTCTGGCCTGGCCACCCCCTTGCTAGTCCTCAGCAGAATCTGAACCTGCCAGGCTGGTCTGATGGGTGAGGTGCAGGGGGAATTCCTGGGGCTCAGATTTGGGCCTTCCTCTGGCCTCTGCTCTTATCCCCCAGGGTAGAGACAGTGGAGTCACAGTCCCTGGCAGGTACGACTGGAGGTGCAAAGGTAGTTAAAGAAGATCTAAACCTTGTAGGAACAAAGAATACTCAACAAATTTAGTATGATCAGCTTGTAAATAGAATATTTGGGGAAGTAAAAGGGCTCATGTTCATTTTGAGAAGGAAAATGAAAATATTGGAGAAAATTACAATTGTAATAAAATAAATGCATTTGTTTCTCTTACCCTGCATATTATTTACCTATTGCTGCATAATAAGTGACCCCAAAACTTAGCAACTTAAAGCAACAAACATTTATTATCTCACACAGTTTCTGAGGGTTGGGAATCTAGAGCAGCTTGGCGGGGGTGTCCTGCTCTAGAGTCTCTCATCAGGTTGCAGTCAAGCCGTGGACCAGGGCTGCATCATCTGAAGGCCTGACTGGGGCTGGAGGAGCTGCGTCCAAGCTCACTATTGTGGCAGTTGGCAAGAGGCTTCATTTTTCACCCCATGGGTCTCTCTATGGGGCTGTTCACAACACAGCAGCTGGCTTCCCCCAGAGCAAGTAAGCAAAGAAATAGAGAGAGAGACCAAGACAGAAGCTGTAGTGTCTTTTATAACATAATCTCAGAAGTGGCATAAATTTCTTCTGCCGTATTCTATTGGCCACAGAAACAACTCTGGTACAACGTGGCACAGGCTGTGAATACCAAGAGACAGGATCATCGGCAGCTGTATTAATTTCCCAGGGCTGCTGTAGCCAGTTACCACAAACTTGGTGGTTTAAAACAACAGAAATTTGTTCTCTCTTAGTTCAGGAGACTTGAAGGCCATGCTCCCTCCGAAGGCTCTGGGGAGGAATTCTTCCTTGCCTCTTCCTAGCTTCTGTGGTTGCCTCAATCGTTGGCGTTCCTTGCCTTATTGCAGCATAACTCCAACCTCTGCCTCCGTCTTCACGTGGAGTTCCTCCCTGGGTCCCCTCTGTGTCTGTTTGTCCTCTCCTCTTCTTACAAGGACACAGTCATATTGGATTTAGAGTCCTCCCTTATACAGCTGAGCTCTTAACTAATTGCATCTAAAAGGCCCTATCTCCAAACAAGGTCACAGTCCGAGGTTCCTGGAAGGACATGAATTTGGAGGGAACACTACTCAACCAGCACAGGAGCCCCTTTGGAGGCTGGATCCCACATCTTGGAATCTCAGGGGGCTGTGACCACTTCAGGTCAAAGTACGGGATTTTTCTTTTTGTAAATTCCTTCCTTGGAATATTTCAGCCACACTAACCCATCACATCTTCCTTCTTCACAGCTTTGCTGAGATCACTATTCTGATTCTACCGACCAGAGCAGCAGAGCTCAATTCAATTTGCATTTCACTCCAGGGAAGTGGAGGCTGAGAACAATAAGAAATAACATCTGCTCTGTTTACCTCAAGATTAATTTTTCTTATTATTACACAAGTAATCCATCTTCATTGTAGAACAATTAGAAAACACAGATAAATAAAAAGAACAAAAAGAAAAATCTCCTATAATACCACCACCCTGACATTGCTAGAATTGAAGTAATCTCCTTCAGACTTTTTTCTATGAGGAAATATATAAATAGGTATTTTTTTTAGTTAAAATAGAATTATAAGATATGCTACTTTGTAACTTGCTCTTCTCACTTAATATGCCATGACCATCTTTTCAGGTGAATAGACACCAGCATCTTGGATTTTAATTGTACCTTGAGTTTCAAAAGGTATGACATGCCCTGCCCATCTTTGGTCTTCTGAACTGGAGCCGTGTCCTCGGACACCACCACCCTCCCCTGCCCATGGCTAGAGCATGAGAGTAGAGATGGAAAGGGCAGCATATGATGGCAGCCGAATTAAAGGGAAGAAGGAGGGGGCTGGGCCTTGGGTCCCTAACTCTATGACCACCCTCCCTCTCCTGCACAGTGGTGGGTGACAGGACTTCCTTTGGGCAGCTGGTGGCCCTAACAAGCTCAACTGGGAACGGGTTGGCCTGTGGGGCCAACCACGGATTATGAAGGATCCCTGCCAGTCTCCCTACCCTGATCCCTTAGGAATCTTCTTATGTGACTCCAGTTTATCTCATACGGCTTTTGCCAAGTTCCACAACAGTAAGACCACCTAGCAAGGAAGGAAACTGTGGACTGAGCTCCAAGTCTCAGAAAAATTTACCGAAACTGGGAAGGTGGCCATGTGCCTAGCTAGTGAGAGGTGGGGGCCCTGAGAGCAGGGGAGGGGTGATTGCCATGGGTCTCCTCCTCCACTCTCCTGCCCCCACTGGAGCTGGCCCTGCCCAGGGAGTTTTGGGGGGCACATTGTCCTAGTCACACTGCTGGAAGTAGAAGTCTGTGATGGGGTTATCCCAGCTGGCGTCCTCGGGAAGCTGGGTGAGTCTGAGAGGCTGGTCTGCTTCAGGCACAGTGCAGAGGAACCAGCCTGGGTGGGCAGCCGATTCAAAGCTGGAGGTGAGTCCCGTGTCCCGCCGGTAGAAGGTGAAGCTCTTGGATTCCTTGGCACCGAGATAGAGCTCCATGATGTTCACTGGCTGCGAGCAGAGGGGCATAGCAGGTGAGGGGCAGAAGTGGGGGTAGTGAGGAGGCTGGGCCGAGGGCACATGGAGACAGGTCTGCAATCCACAGAACCCTGCAAGGGCATCCCCAGGAGAGGCACTCGGGCCACAGGTTGCAAGGCCTCAGTGGGTTCAACGTCTGTTGATTTAGTTGCCAGATGGCGAGGATTCCCAAAAGGACTCACCTCTAGTTTCAGAGTTGGTTCCTGCCCCGTCCCACACGACAGGCACTGGCTCCCTCCCTGGACGCCCAGGATGACTGGAGAGAGCTTGGCATCCAGAAACCGATTGGGGACAACGCTGATCTCCTCACCTAGAGGAGGGAAGCCAGATGCAGGGGCCTTGGCCACCCTTCCTTCTCTCTCCCCATGTCCTGGACTTTGGGGAGCAGGACCTGTGTGAGACATCCTGTCCCCAGGCTGGGCAGAAGGGAAGCTTCTTAGCGGCTGTCATAAAGGGAAGAATGGTCTCCTGCCAGTTGGCCCAGTAGACATCAAGGCACATAAGCACATTGTACCATTTCCCACCCCCAGGGTCAAATCTTCAAGTCTTCTCTAACCCCTAAGGGAGACTGGACCTCCTTTAATGCCCCTCAACCCTCAGGCTTCTTTTCTGAAACTTGTCTAGATAAGCCTCCCATTAGAGTTATTTGAACATCTTTCTAACCCCTGTGAGATTCCTGAGAACAGGAGAGGATATCACTCCTCCCTGTACCACCCCACCCCCGCCACACACACACACACACACTCTCACACACACGTGCACATATGCATATATGCACACACACATACATGCATACACATGTGCATACACACATCCTCGCAAAGGGATCTGCCTAGCCCTAGCACCCAGTAAGGGTGTTCAGGGTGGGCAGGTGTGTGCTGTTTTAGAGAGAAGGATCTGTTCCAGTGGCGGGGAGGCAGAATGAGTAAGCACGAGGCCAGTTGGTGCCACCTGCTCTCTGGGTGCCACCACTTTGAGTGGCCAAAGAACCTGAGAGCAGAGGGGACCCAGGGCAAAGGGGCAGAAACCTAGTCCCATATGGGAATAAAGGCACAGAGAGCCTGCTTTGGTTTCGTCCTTAACACTGGCTCCCAGGAAAAAGAGTGTTTGACCCCAGTCCACCTAGGAGGGAATGACAAAGCATCCATCTTGGAAAACATTCCCATCTCTGCAGGGAGGGTTCCGGGGGCACTGGGGCACGGGTCCTCACTTTGCTGGAAGGTGTAGTATTTTATTTGTCCTTGCTCAGAGCCTGGTTTTACGATGCCCCATCTACCCTGTCAGGCCTAGGGTCTGTAGGCCTGTGCCAATTCGCATGACCGTGTAGGCCCCCTCCCCTAAGAGTGTGTAGAGACTTGGGATAGTACGGTCATGTTTTGCCACCAACCTTTCATGACCTTCCCTGTATGCAGCCCTCCGGCTAGAAGCTGGTTATCATGCAGATAAAGCACCTTCAATGCCGCATCCTTCATTCTGAAACATCAGCACGGGACGACACTCAGTTAGGGGAGGCGTGGGTGCTTCCCCTTGCCCGGGCTCTGGAGTCCCCCATCTCAGGTATTGTCTCCCTCTCCTCCAGCACGGAAGTAACGGCACAACTTTCTCTCCCTCCCTGCTGTGCTCACGCCCTACCAATGGGACAACCCCACAGTCTCCAATCTGAGGCTGGGATTTGCTCCTTCACCCTACTCAATCTTTTCTGCACCAACTCATCTCCTCTGTGTGTTATGTTGGAAAAGTAACTAGACTGTGAGTCAGGGTCCTGGGGTCTCGTCCAGCTCAGCCACCATTACTGCCGAGTCACAACAGACAAATCCCTCTCCCTCTCTGAGCCTGAGTCTCACCACTGCTAAGCTAAGACGATGACTTAGATAATGCCCAGGCCTCATCCAGATTAAAGTCTGATTCTTCAATTATTATTGAAGACATCAAGGTACATTTACTTCCACTTGGCCATATATTCCCTACGAAGTGAGGAACTTCTTGAAATTTAAAACTCTTTCATTTTACTTGTCAAATTTATTTTGCCTCTATGATCTCAGTTGATCTGCTGACATCCTGCGAAAAAGCTGAAATATGTAGCCTAAAGTGGATTTCTCCAGATGTTATATGGTAAAAAGTATGCTGTGTACAAATTGATTCCATATTGGCTAAACACAACTAAATCTCTACTTCAAAGTTACTAATATGCTGAATTGCACCCTGGTTTTCTCTTAAGGAGACATAGAATGAGGTATTTCCCACATTTGCTTAATCAAGGAGTGCCACTGTATAAAACAACTCATGGGACTGGGGTTCCGCAGAAGACACATTGGGAAAAACTCCACTAGACTCTGAGTTCAGTGAGAGCAAGGACCGTTCTCATTCCCTGTTGCAAAATCCAGAGCATAGCAGAGTGCCTGGCTCAGTACATGCCAGTGGACAGACAGACTGATTGACTGAATAGTTTTGTTGTTGTTGTTCTGTCTCAAAGGGCAGGAAGGAGGAAGAGAATAGCCGGACTGACATCAAATCGCCACAGTGGGTGGTAACAGCAGGGCTGCAGGCCAGGTCTCCTGACTTCCATTCTCATTATGAATAGATGAGGCTCCCTCTCTACACAGGGCGGTTCACTTGTGCCCCCTTCGCATCAGGGAACTCCCTTGAGGGGGCCTGCCCCAGTCTGAAGAAGGCTGAAGGAACTTTTCTCAGGGCAGTGAGGTGCCATTCACAACTTCCCAGCTGCCCCCCCACCTCTGAGAGTCCCAGCTCAGGGCCATCACAGCTCCTCCCTCCCTGGAAAGGCCGGACAACAGGTCTACCTGGAACTCACCTCCCCTACAGGACACGGCCAAATCAGAGGCTCTGTTACTCACCGGAAGCACAGCGCTCCACTCAGGACCATCTTGAGCGTCACAGTGTGTAGATTCTCCTATTTTGAAATAACAGAAAATCTTAGGTGGAGACAGAGGCTGAGCTGGTGGGAGCCTGGGTAGCAAGCAGCCTCCTGACCCCTGACCCTGACCCCACACCCCCAGCCTGTGAACAGAGAGCCCCAGCACTGCTGGGGAGGATGAAGCCCAGCTCCCCAAAGGACACCTCAGATCCTCCCTTCTCCTGACAGCGCCTGCGGTGCCTGCCTGCTCTTCCGAGGATGCCTCAGCCCTTTTAATGATGCACAAGGGAGGGGCTCCTGAAACTGCCGCGACCTGTGGAGGAGCAGGGTTTCCCAGAGAGATTTCACGTCACCCTAAGCCTCCAGAAACGCCTGCTACTCACTACCTCTTGCAGGGAAGGAAGATTCTGGAGACAGTCTTCTTCCAGCAATTCTGAAGAACTTCCCAGGGGCTTTCCAATTCTTCATAAGCACGCAGCTCCTCCAAGCGCTTCCAGACCCAGAGGCGTCAGTGCAGATAGCAGCTCAAGGAAAGCAGATTTTAAAACTCCTTTTCCTTGCTTCCTTCCTTCCTTCCATCCTTCCTGCCTTTGCCAGGCCTGTGGAAGATGTTGAAGGTGGGGCTCTCCTGCTTAAGTGATGTTTAATCTCCGTATTCATTGTCAAAAGACCTGAAAATCCAGACTGACAAAAAAAGAAAAACATGCTCATCTTCTGTGAGCACACGATCAGAAAACCAACGACAACACTTTTTCCTCTGCGCACATATACACGTTAAATGTGGACAGCTTTTCACACAACTGCATCATAGAACCCACATTCTTTCCAACCTGCTTTTTTCATGTAGCAAAGTAGCAACGTATCTTTTCATACCAAACATGAATACTGACATGATACCATTGAGTAGCTGTCTAGTATTTCATTGTGTAGATGCAGCATCAGTTACTTATAGCAATCAATTATTATTAGTCCTTTATATCATTAGTATTATTTGCTATTGAAAATCGTGTGATCATTATTTTCATGATCATGATCATGAAAACACCTTTGTATCAACATCTTTGCTCATGTGTCTGATTATTTCCTTAGGAACTAAAATCTAGCTCGTGCCATCTGTGAATGATGTTTCTTTAGCACCTAATTGGTAAAATAGTATGTGATTGTGTTTTAATACATCTTGCAATTTTAATACATCCATACACTCTCTGTGATGGATCTGAATTAAAGGTAACGATCAGTGTATAATAACAAACAATTTCATTACGTCTTGAGGACCACTGAAAACCATGTATTGTTAAGTCATAAATTTTAAAGAATTGTGTTCAGGCTTATGGGCTAAAAACTCCTTAAAGTGTTCAAGAAGAAATAAAATACCAAGTTGTTCAAAGGGTAGGAAGTAACCCACCACTCACCTAATGCCACTAATGTGATAAACACCTTTCATAAAAATGAAAGATGTTGAGGCTACCTTATGCAAATTTATTAAATTGATGATAAACTGAGCAAATAGAAATGACACTGAATTGGTTGCAAAAAAGAACAAAACAAAAAAGAAACTCCAGAAGGAGGTGGCCCATAGGCAAAGTGGTTTTAAACAGAAAGGCTTTCACTTGCAATGTGGTGATAGAGAAGTAGATATTGTTTCACCTAAAAGGGTGAAATACAGTCTGCCCAGGCTGCCTTCTCTGACCCCCTGACCCCAGTGAATTGCACCTGTGTGCCCGGGGGACACTGCTGTGGGGCTTCATAAGCTCTTCTCTCATTCTGCTGAAGAAAGAATGAGGCCAGTAAATCGCCGCCCCTCGAAATGGGGCGAGCCTGCTGAGGGTCCAGGGGCATGTCTCCGCCAGCTTTATCTACTCTGCAATGTGCTTAAATGGGGATGGATGTAGAATGAATGGATGGAGCAATGCATGGATCGAACTGGATGCAAATGGATGGAACTAAGAAGGCGAAAGTGAGACAAATAAACCCCTGTTAAGCAAAGTTCTTGTCTTGAAAATAAAACAAAATGATGACTGCATGTGCTTTCAACGTCATACTGGAGCATCGTCAAATAGACCCCACCAACAATTACTCAGTTCCCTAGGGAACGTATACCTTAGTTTGACTTGTTAATTACTATGGATTAGATACCAGACTGTAAGGTTAGTTGTGAACTAAGAGGAGATTGATAAATTGCAAAATATTTCTGCCTGATAGAAAAGATAGCCCTAGAGGGTGCAGTTTTATTGACTTGCAATTCATTAAGCAATTTTTTTTTAAATCTAAGTTAGCCAAACAATTCTACCATTTCTCTCCTGACTGATTATATAATCTTCTGTTCCTTGACTTATCTTTTGAATCAGTTTTATCATCTTGCTGGTTCCTTCATTTATTAATAATGATAAATCTTTGACACATGCTCGCTATGCGTTTGCATGAGAGTCACGTTTTGGACTTTTTTGAAAATTAAACTGGCACCATCTAAGACAATGTTATTTTGCCCCAAGATCACACACCATGGTTGGTGGTTTTAAAATATGTCCACAAATTTTTTGATACTTTATCCTTTAAGAGATGGAGCTTAATTCTTCTTCCTTTGAGTGTGGGCTGGACCTAGTGACTTGCTTCTAAAGAATATGCTATACGGTGGAAGTGACAGTGCCACTTGTGAGGCTAGAGCATAAGAGGCATGGGGGCTTCCTCCTTGATCTTCCTGGATCACTTGCCTGGGGGAAGCCAGCTGCCATGTCATAAGGGCTCTAGAAGCCTGTGGAGAGGCCCATGTGGTGAGGAACTGAGGCCTCCCGCTAACAGCCACGTGAGTGAGCAATCTTAGAAACAGACCCTCCAGACCCATTCAAGCCTTCGGATGATGCAGCCTTGGCTGACACCTTGACTGCAACTTCATGAGAACCCCTGAGCCAGACCACCCAGCTAATGCCACCTTTTTGACTCCTGACTCTGAGAATCTGTGTGAAATAATAAATGTTTGTTGTTTTAAGCTGCTAAGTTTGGGGATAATTTGTTACACAGAAATAGGTAACAATACCTATTTGATACCTTGTCATCACTATTGGCGGTTTGTCTTCCTTTTGTTTTGTTCTTCTCCACCATCCTCACTGGGTACCCTCCCTTCTTTGGAAACATCTCAATTCTTCACGCACTTTATATGACCAAGAAGGTGCCCCAGAAGCTGTCCCACCTACACCTACAGAGGCGTAATGTTCCCCGCGGTGACTTCTCACCTCCCTTGTGAGAGCGGCAGTGCCCTGGAGGTGGGAGTGGCTCCTATGCTTGCTGTAGAGATGAGAACTCAAACAGCACGAGTGTCTACACCTGTGTCACTATGTAAGCACGCCTTCACAGTTTATTACAGTAAAATAGTAATTTTTTATTAGGAAGATAAATTTAACAGTAATGTAGATAACCAGTATCCATTTGGTGTTCATATGTCCCTACAACTACGTTTCATCATTCGCCTAAATTTTCTCATTTTATGCTCATAACTGCCCTATTTGGTAAATACTATTATTATCTCTGTTTTATGGATGTGGAAACCAAGCACAGAAAGATGAATTATGTTGCCTGATATTGGGCCAGTAATTAGTATGAGAGTCAGAACCAAATCCAGGAAACTTGAGTCTAAAGCTTTGACCCCAAGACACAACATGGCAGTCAGACTGATCTTTTTACAATCTGAGTCAGATCATGTCACTCCTCTGCTCCCCATGTCTCTGAGAGTAAAAGGCAAGTCTTCACCACACTTCCAAGGCCCCACAAAATCAGGCTATCATTAACTCTTGACCTCATCCTTTCACCACACCGTGCAGTACACTCAAGCCACACAGACCCCTTGCTCTTTCTTGAACAAGCCAGACATACTCCTGCCTCAGGGCCTTTGCACTGGCTGTTCTCTCTGCCTGGAAAGCTCTTCTCCAAGATATCAGCATGGCTCATTCCCTTACCTCCTTAAAGTCTTTGCTAAAATGTCACCTTTTCAGTGAGACCTACACTTACCACCCTATGCTGCTCTCTTGCTCCCACATTCCCCTAACCATGCTCCATTTCTTTCCACAGCACTCACCATTTTTTTACATATTATATAATTCAGCTGTTATTGCGTGTATTATTTGTCAGCGCCCCCACTCAATCCTGCTGGAAGATAAGCTCATACAAAGGGAGATGCTGTCTATTTTTTTCACTGGTGTATGTCAAGCACATAAGATGGGGCCTGGTGTACAGTACATCTTCAACAACTAATGGTGCATTGACATTGAATGAATTGCATACTGTATCACACTGAAAGGCCAGAGAATTGTCAAACATTTTGTTCACAATTACGATTTTGTTTCTCAGAGAGCTTTGATGCTTCTGGGTCCTCGTTCTCTTAAGGTAGCAGTTAAGACCACGGGTGGACCAACTTTGGCCTATGGGCTAAGATGGGCCCCCTGTTTATTTTATAAATAAAGTTTTATTGGAACACAGAGCCATGCTCCTTTGTTTACACGGTCTATGGATGCTTCTGCACTACTGTGGCAGAGTTGAATATTTGTGACTGAGACCGCATAGTCAGCAAAGCCTAAGATATTTAGTGCATGGTCCTTCACAGAAAAAGTTTGCTGAACCCTGGTCAAAACTGTCTTGATTCAAGTCCGAATCTGTCACTTATTAGCACGTGTCTTTGGTGAAGTTATTTAACCTTTTTGTGTTTTGGACTTCTCATCTGTAAAATGGGGATAAAAATAGCACTTACTCAGGGGCGGTTGTTGAGATTAAATGAGTTAATATATGTGAAGTGTTTAGAACAGTGCCTGGCGCATAGTCAGTGCTTAAATGTCAGCTATGTCATCATCATCATCATTAGCTAAGTGGCCCTGGGAAATTGCTTCGTCTCTCTGATTTGATGATTTGTCTCAGCCTCGTTATAGCCTTCTCTATAAAGAGGAGAGTAATATCCACGTCACTGGGTTGTCATGAGGACTGGAAGAGACAGAGACGGTAAAGAGCAGGGTCGGCACTTAGCATGAACCCACAGACACCTGCTTCCTGCCAACTCTGTGTGGCACACCTCCCCTGCTCTCCTCCCCGGGCCTGTAAAGAGGACACTGAGAACATGGCAGAGGCTAAGTTATCATTGACCTAAGTCTGAGGCTGGTTCAAGACCAAACACTTCCTCGCATGTGTTAGAGCAGCCTACCTGACCCAGAGAGGAAGATCGTCCCAGCTTAGCCTGGCTGAAGG